TGTGTGTGTGTGTGTGTGTGTGTGTGTGTGTGTGTGTGTGTGTGATTATATGCATGTGGGACTCAGATAACAACTTCCTCAGGACACTCTCCACCTTGATTTTTGAGACAGGATCTCTCACTAGCTTGGAACTTGCTATTTAGCTGGGCTGGCTGGCCAGCAAGGCTAGGGATCCTTCTGTTTCTGCTTTCCCAGCTCAGAGATTACAAGCGCATGCCACCACAACACCAGTTGTTTTTACGTGGGTTGTGAGTGTGCACTTTACCAATGGATTCATTTCCAGTCTTGGGTTTCCTACACAATTATTCCTATTTAATGCCTCTCTGCCCACAAGCCTTTCCTGATGGGATCTCAGAATGGGGTGCCATCCTATCTGAACCTCCTCTCCTGCCACTCAGCAACGTTCTAAGCTTGAATGCCCAGGTGACCAGGGAGAGGAGATGGGCCCCAAGAATGCCTCAAGTCAGAGCCTTAAAACCTCACCCCACTCTGTAGGGTGTTCCATCCCTCTGGGATTTACCTGAGCGTCAGAGGTGAGCCATTCACCCAGTGCCATGTGGATTCCTTATGCATGTCGATGAGCCCCATCCAAGTGTAGCCTCTCTTCTTAGAAGTCTGTTGTAGAAACTTCTAGAAAGGCAGAAGAGGAAGAGTCAGAGAGGAGCTCTGCCTCCCTCTTCTTTCTAACCAGTGCTTCCCCACACTCCTGGTGGGAAGTCCTGCCTGTAGTCCGAGGTTCAGCTTTATACCTTATGAGGCTGTGAGCACCGTGAGCTCTGAATCTCCTCACACCTGTGTGTTACCGGCAGATGTGTTTTCACTCACACACAGAATGTGCATACCTAGCAACGTCGCACACTTGTCCATCTGAAAGTTATGCACACGTCCACATGAATTTACTCATGACTGGGTTTAATTGGCTGCACCGGATCAAACAAGTTCATGATTACTGAATGTGTTAGTGACCTGTGCTCAGCTCTGATCTGAGCTGTGTCTCATTGATGCTTCAAACCAGCAAGGCTGGCGATATTTATACTAGGACAATTAGCAAAAGACACACACAAGGACGTTTTTGAATCCAACAGAGGAAGTTGTTGAGCGTTGGCCACAAATTTTAGGTGTTCCCCTAAAGCATCAATCACATTAAAAACTATAGTAGTGAGGTTGAGAATATGGCTCAGTCAGTTAAGTGTGTGCCACACAAGTGTGAGGACCTGAGTTCGACCCCCTAGCAAGCATGTGGAAAGCCAGCTGTGATTGTCCACATTTGTAATCCCAGCACTGAGGAGGCAGAGGCAGGAGGATCCTGGGACTTGTTGGCCAGCCAGCTCAGCCTAAACAGTGAGTTCCAGGTCAATGAGAGACCCTGCCTTAAAAAAGGTGGACAGCACCCGGGGGATGACACTCAAGGCTGGCCTCTGCCTCCACATGCGCACGCATGTATGAGTGTGTGTACGTCAGAGGGTAACGCTAGGTTGATTCTTGTGTGAGACAGGAGACCTTGTTTACCACTGTGTACGCCAGGAGAGCTGCCTACCAGCTTCCATGGAGCCTCTTACCCCCCCCCCTCCATTTTACCACAGGAACACTGGGATTACAGGTGTGTATTCTCAAGCTGGGCTTTGTGTGGGTTTGAGGGGTGCCAACTCAGGTCCTCATGTGTGCCTGGCAAGTGAGTTTCCCACTGAGCCTTCTCTCCAGCCCTAGAGTGTCTTTTTGCAGCTGCCCTGGCCTTATTCATGATCTTCTTATCCTCCCTCTCCAGGCAAGCAGCCTCTGTTCTAGAACATTGTATCCAGCCCAATACCTCTTCCCCTTAGCCAGTGGCCAGATGCATCCACAGATGAGGACCGGGGCCCACCAGGCATACCTGCTCTTCATCACTCTTGATGACTACAAGTTGAGCCCCCACATTCTGGCAGGCCGTGGCAGAATCATTCCAGGTCTTCTGGGACACAGAGAAAAAGTAGCAGCTTTCTTGGAAGGGCGTCCAGTCCCAGGGACAGCGGCGGCACAGACGATCTGTTGGGGGAGGCAGGTCAGGATGGATGCATGTTCCTGTGACTGTCCAACCTTCAAGCTCTCCAGAGTCAGGGCCCCTGCCTTGACACAGCACCATGGGGAACCATTCCCTACCCCACTTCTTGAGTCCCTTCTATACCCAGGAGAACCCAGGAGTCCTAGCTTGGTCTTTTCCAGACTGGAAGAAGTTGCAGCTTAGAGCTCAGAATGGAGGCCAGGTGACAGGTTTAACTGAGTATCTACCATGTGCATACCTCTGTGAACACTGAGTGCCTATTGTGCATACAACCTCTGTGACATTGTGTGTCTATTGTGTGAACATTATATGCTTATATTGAGTGCTTACTGTGTCCATACTCTTGTGAACATTGAGTGCCTAATCTGTCCAGGCTCCTGTAAATCTTGAGTGCCTATTTTGTCCACAATCCCTGTGAACACTGACTGCCTATTATGTGCATGGACTCAAGTCAACACCAATGGATGCCTTCCTTAGTATTACCCCGCATGCCCATTCCACAGGTGAGGAAACCGAGGCTCAGCAAAAAGCAGTTATTTAAGCAAAGTGATTCTGGAAACCTCAGGCTGTGAGACCCCTCATTTCCAGTCACTCACCTACCCCAGCCTTCAGCTGGGTCAGTTCCTGGTAGACCTTCTCTTGGCTGGATTGCTCCTGTCCTGGAGAACTGGGGATCTTGAACACTGTGACAAGAGAAAGGGTCAGTGTAACTATTAGATGCTTACTGTATTTCTTGGCCTATACTGGACCCCTAGGACCAAAACATCCGTTTTCTCTCTCCAATTTCCTCCTCCCTCCCTCCCTCCCTCTCTCCCTCCCTCCCTCCCTTCTTTCCCCTTCCTTCCTTCCTTCCTTCCTTCCTTCCTTCCTTCCTTCCTTCCTTCCTTCCTTCCTTCCTT